ACAGATACCACTCTAGCATCAAGGTTGCCCTGTTCGAAGCCCTCTATGGCCATAAATGCATATCCCCTCTGTGTTTGGACGAAGTGGGTGACACGCAGCTAGCTAAAGGGCGTGTCCATAATAGCACTCTCACTGGTCTAGAGATCATTCGAGAAACCACAAAAAATATCATTCAAATTCGAGAACGACTGAAAGTCTCTAGAGACAGAAAAAAGATGAAAGACCCGCACTTTCATAATACTAAAACAATTTGTTACTCCAAAACTTGCTACATGCATATTCACAAAAAATTATATTTTACATTGATAATTTATTTACAAACGACTGGATACAAACCGACTAAGTTCAAGTTTATTGCAAAACTACCCAGGATATTGTATATTTTATACATACTAAAACTTAAATACAAAAGTAATAGTATAGACTATTTTAATTCTTCCAACAGTATAAAGCTATACTGGATGCTTATTGCCTGCAATATATTAAAACATTGAGAGGGTAAACAGTGACGCTTAGTGAGTTTAATAATACATTGCATTCCAAACACTGAAGGTTCACTGGAATGTCAAACGGGGACCCGAATTCATTTGGGAGCGAGAAGATCAGATGCAACACAAGTACCTGCATCTTTTCCCTAGTCCATAATATACTCACTATAAAAAGAATTTCAGGATGAAATTCCCTCTAACAGGGGGATAATGTAATAACCCGTCATTCTCAAATCAGTAAGAGTCTAAACCACATTCCAATTCTTGTTGTTTTGTATCCTTTATTGCCTTAAGAACATGTTTATAAGCTAATAACTAAGTACAATTTGAAACCTAAGTTGATTATTATTAGTATAAATTAACATAAGTTAAAAGACTAAGGTTCAAACTATAAAATAACCACCATATAATAGATTTCGGTCAAAGGAAATCAAGAACCAAGTAGTTTTCGGCCAACTAATTTAATTCCGATGGAGTTTACAGTTGGAATAAATCAAGAACTAGGGTTTTTGGTAAGTATGACCGAAATCACCCTTTAATGGGCCGAAAAAAAACAACTAAAGGTCCGACCGAAAACCCAAAGCCAAAGGCCCTTTAAGGCCGAAAACCCTTCCTATTTATATGTGTTTTGCCACAAGCCTAATTCATTTCTCAATTTCCCAACCGTAAACACTCGCACTTTTGCTCTCAAGTATCATCCGTAAGCAGCATATATTCAAGAGATTTCTACCCAGATCTTATTATTTTCACCAAGAACACCAAGAATATTCATCAATATCTTCAAAGATTCCACCCAAGAACACACCAAAAACTCCCCAAGCCCACCGAAAACACCTTGCAATACTACAAATAATTCAAAATAATTCCAAATAATTTTGTAAGTATTCCTTGCATAATTAAGTGTTGTCTAACACTTTAATTATTATTTAAATTAATATCTTATTAATCTGAATATGACGTCGGATATTACTATTTTTAGGATAACGCTATTCTCACGTATGCTAGCCGATGATCATCTATACAGTTCGATATCCAGACTCGAACACACTAGAGATGGGTTCATACCCCCTATGATTTCACTATTTTTCAATGTTTTTAGGGGGAATACAAGTAAAAAACAAGGACTCATGTGTCAATATTCAAACGATTTTAAACCATCTGAAATTGATTCAAACCGATTTATTACTGCATTATATATATATATATATATATATATATATATATATATATATATATATATATATATTTCTAATCCTTTTGTAACATGTCGAGCAAAAGGATGCTTTTCACGAATCTCTTACTACCATGTTATACATACTGTTAAATTGCGAAGGTTTTCAGTACATTACAAAGTATACATTTAAACTATAATTGGTATAGTTTATGAACCACTACATTATTTTACTAAGTTTAATACACAAAACAAGAACATACATTTTAACTATAATATGTATAGTTTGGGAAGCACTACACTATTTTACAAGTTCAAGCACCCTATTTAGAAACAAGAATATAAACTGTAATAAATATAGTTTATGGAACACTACTATATTTCACTGATTCAAGGATACACTACTAAATAATTATTTAAGTATGATTATTTTACATTACAAAGTACACTACTACGAGGTGATACATACAGTCACAAGTACAAGATAACACTATAACACTACATGTAAACTAGTTAATACAGGGTTGTGAGGCACTACTTCAATTATACTCATCGGGATACAGGTCCAAGTTGTATAAATTATAACAAGAGTCTCCTGGAGGAAGAGCATAACTTTGTCTATAGATATATACGAGATTGACAACCCCACACCTAAACGGTTAGCTACAGTTAGGCCGGCAGGCCTGGGGTAACAAATGTCATAACATTCCGACGCCTGAAGAACGTCGTAGAGGCCACTAGTCAGATTAGCATGGTTATATGAAACTCACAATAGTATTAACTAAAACATTTGTTTATAGGATTATCACTACTTCAATGGTTTTATTTTAATTAATGAAACTACAGTACACTACTATACATACAAAGGTTTTTATACAAACACTACTATTGTACATTATAGCTGGTGGTATCCAGGCATATATACAAAGGTTTTCATACAAACACTACCACTATACATTACAGTTGGTGGTGTCCAAGCATTCATACAAAGAGTTTCACACAAACACTACTACGATACACTACTTTCCTAGTATAGAGTACACTAATGCAACATACAGTACAGGGAAACATCCATGACATGGTTTTATTCATTAAAAAGACTACATATATTATTACATAGTACAATAATAATCATACATTTTAGTCTTAAGGCCTAAGACTACACTTTATTTACTAAAGAAAATATTAGATTTTCTGGAGGAACATACTAACGCTTTTCAAGGAACAATGAAAAGTTTTCCATCATAAAAACATACTATTGAACTTACCAGATTAAATGTTGATACACTTTCAAAACCACTTTGTATTCTTAGGGAACCCGTAGACAGGTACACCCATAGGTTTTGAGAAGACGGAGCTTTGAAGAGTCGCGTCTTTTATACTTTTGTTTTACACTTTTGATGTCATACAAACTATGTATTGTACAGATGTAAATACTTTACTTTATCAATGTAATGGTTGTATTTTCATTTATTCATATTATACAATTCTTGTGATACTGTACATGACGTCTTTCGCCCCCGAACGTTATTGTCATTTCGGTTTGGGGGTGTGACACATGCATTGTTTTTTCTTTCCGAGTACATGATTATCTCGAGGCGGTTAGATCATGTGTGTGGTTTCTTGAACAGTTGGTGAACCATTGCACATCATATAGACACATAATAATGATTGCATGCCTAGGTATATTTTTAATATATTGCATGTTTATGAGATGTTAGGCATGATGCTAGAATTCCATGCTTAGTTGTTTTATCAGTTATTATGATGATAATGAGCTTTGTAATTGTTTGCATATTGTTTGAATTGCATGCTTGGAGCTGTAATGAGTTGCATATGTTAATTATGCATTGAGTTATGGTTGAGAAGACTATGATAGGTCTCGACACACTCTTCGAGTTGTATTTTATGTGAGACATTGATATTTCTAGATAAGTATTTGTCATAAATGTATGGGCATTATGGATGAAATAAGTATTATCGAATAACAACCCATTTACACTAAGAATATTACAATTTCTGGTGCTTCGACCAAGCCTTGTTCTTGAACCCCATACAAAGACTAGATCTAGAAATTCATTGTTGCAATCCATTTCTCAAAATCTGATTACTAAATGGTTCTCTTAGTTGGTCGGTTCATCCTAAACAACTATGACGTCTTTGTAATATGTGACGAGATAACCATATCTCTATGGTTTCACATGTAACCTACTAGGCCGACAAGGTTCACTTGCTTCAAAAGACATAAAGATTTTGTCCCTATACATTTTGAACCGTCAGTTAGAGAGCTTTTCGTTCTTAAACATGTTCAAGTTTGATGTAAATAATATGTTTGTGCTTTCCTTAGTATATCAAACAAACCTATAATTTTTTTATTCATAATTCGCTTTATTTAGAGTTTTATCTAATCTTGTCATTTAGTAATTTAAAATATACTGAAATCCTAATGATATAAAGAAAAATATACTATAATACAACTAATATTCAAGAAAATAAAATAGGAATGTTTCCTAACCACGTACATGATATATGGTTTCAAGTTTAAACAAACATCAATCATATACAACTCATTTTAGATTCTGTAAAATAAAAATAAAATGATTTAAAAAATAATATCACAATATCATTTATTTCATACTAGTTGTGAGACACATGTATTACATGAGTTAATAAAAAAAATTAAATATAAATATCAAAACATTTAAGAACTTTAAATTTATAAGAAAAGAAAAAAAAATAATAAATTATTATAATGAGAATGTTTTTTTGTCTTTTAAATTTAAACAAATAGTTTAAATAAATAAACAAAAGAAACTAATGAGCTTTAGTTTTGAGAATTTTAAAATTAAAATGTAAGTTGATTAATAAAATGATATTGGTTGTAAGACTCGTGTGTTATATGGATTAATTAAAAAAATATTAAATATAAATGTCAAAATCTTTGATAATTTTGAATTTATAAGAAAATAAAAAAATGATGATTTATTATAATGAAAATGTTTTTTATCTTTTAAATTTAAACAAATAATTTAAATAAAGAAAAAAAAACTAATAAGCTTTAATTTTAAGAAATTTGAAATTAAAATATAAGTTTATTAGTGAAATTAATATCAATTTATTACTACATTTATTGTAATTATTATATTAAAATATTATATAAAATTTAATAAAATAAAAAAATTAGAAAAAAATTAATTCAAAATAGTCAAATTTTACAAATTAAATTAGAATGACAAACTCAAAAAATATGTCAATACTCAATACTACTAATGATTTATATCTGGGCCAAACTTCATAAACATAAATGGGGCTCATTGACTTATGCTCGCATTTTGAGCCCAAAAGAGTGAGAAAAATAAAAAAATGGCATCCATGGTGACATAGTTTTATGTTGACGAAGAAGAGACGGGAGTTTCTTCAAATTCCCGCCACTGCTTCACAGGTCATTGACGAATTCCATAGTTCTTAAGTTCATACAGCATTTCGTTAATCCTGCTTATAGATGAAGTTGTTTCCTCTTCATTAATTATCTTCTTTTTGTTATAAATTTTAATTCTTCTAGAGCTCCGAAAGTTAGCTTTTTTCTTCTTCCACTATACATGTATGCTCGTATTTTTATTGGATCCTTTTTGAGAAATTGAATGCGAAGATTTAAATTCCATGCGACTTTCCCATTCTCAGTTAACAATCGATTAAAACAAAAGTCTACTTGTATATCATTGCTTGCTTCAGAAATACTGTCATCGCTTTAGGGTTTTAGCTCTGAAATATGTTAATTGTTTATAGATTTGACTGTCGTATGCGCAAAATAGAGACTGTATCGACACTTCTTTTCACATAAATTCATTTATAGTAGATACTTAACTGCTCTTTTCTCTAATCGTGAATTATTGTTCTGTTGTTTTAGGGTTTAAGAGCTGAAACTCTTGTACCATGGGTGATCTATCAAGGTAAAATACATCCTATTTGCTTTAACTATCTATAAACCCTAATTCTTATCACATGTCTACATGTTCTGTATGATATAGGGAGGATAATAGCAACACTGTTCGTGTACTTATTGCAACAGATTGTCATCTGGGCTATATGGAAAAAGATGAGGTTCGAAGGCATGACTCATTTCAAGCATTTGAAGAGATATGCTCCATAGCAGAACAGAAAAAAGTAACATATTTCTCCTCCCTCATTCATCATTAAAATTTTGTAAGTGGATGATATGATAAAAACCAACATTCAATCTGTCATCAGGTGGACTTCCTACTTCTAGGTGGTGATCTTTTTCATGAAAACAAGCCATCAAGAACAACATTAGTGAAAGCAATTGAGATTTTGCGTCGATATTGTCTTAATGATAAACCAGTGCAATTCCAAGTTGTCAGTGACCAGACTATAAACTTTGCAAATGTGTAATGATCTGTTTTACTTTTGGTAACATCTACAAATGGGATTGTCTTTTTTCTTTTTTTTTACTTTGTGTCAATGTGAACAGGTTTGGTCATGTAAACTATGAAGATCCTCATTTCAATGTTGGCTTACCAGTGTTCAGTATTCATGGAAATCATGATGATCCTGCTGGAGTGGTAATATTCATAGTAGAAAACATATCTTTCTTCTTATATATGTCATCCAATCAATTATTTTGTTAGTTATATCTTATTAGGTAGTGAAAATAACATTTTTTTTTCTTGTTTTTTACAGGATAATCTTTCTGCAGTTGATATTCTTTCAGCATGCAATCTTGTAAATTACTTTGGGAAAATGGTTCTTGGAGGATCTGGGGTTGGGCAAATCACTCTCTACCCAATTCTTATAAAAAAGGTCCCTTGTGAATTCTTTTTATCAAAGTTTAAAAAAGTATAATAATGCAATAATTGTTATATATAACTTTTACAGGGTTCAACTTCTGTTGCTTTATATGGCCTTGGAAATATCAGAGATGAACGTCTAAATAGAATGTTTCAGGTTCTTTCTTCTTAATTCTTATCCAAATTATGCATACTTTGTTTTCTTTATTTATTCTTTTTAATTTTCTTTTGTGTTTATTTATTATGATAGACTCCACATGCTGTACAATGGATGCGACCTGAAGCTCAAGAAAGCTGTCAAGTGTCAGATTGGTTCAATATTCTTGTGCTTCATCAAAACAGGTTATAAATAATATTTGAAGCATATGATTACTAAAGTTGAGAAATAGAAAATGATTTTGAGAGATAATGATATAATGTAGCAAAATATTAAAGTTATTTTTTATATGCAGAGTGAAGACAAATCCCAAGAATGCCATAAATGAACATTTTCTACCTCGGTTTTTGGACTTTATAGTTTGGGGGCATGAACATGAATGTCTTGTGGATCCTCAGGTGGAATTTGATTCCAAGTTGGAATGGAATGTGAAAGGAATGGAATGGAATAAGCAAGATAGTGGAATGAGTTTTCATATGGATTTATGACACCATTCCATTCCATTATGCAAACCAAACAACTTTTTTTTTTTATAAACTTTTTGTATTCCAGAAAGATTTGACTAAATATTAATTTATATTTTAATGTTTAAATATTTAATAGGAAGTTCCAGGTATGGGTTTCCACATCACTCAACCAGGTTCTTCTGTTGCCACATCACTTATTGATGGTGAATCAAAGCCAAAACATGTACTTCTTGTAGAAATTAAGGTTCTTCCCGAAAACAAACTAGAAAAAAAAAATTATTTTTTTTTAATTTTTTTTATTCTACTTGCCTGACAAATATTTTATACAGGGAAATCAATATCGCCCAACTAAGATACCACTACACTCTGTAAGACCTTTTGAATATAAAGAGGTAGGTTGATAATATATATGCAATTTTGTTTTTTTATAAAATTTCTGAATGAGTCTTTTTTAATAGCTGAATGTTGATGACACAGGTAGTGTTAAAGGATGAATCTGACATTGACCCAAATGATCAAAATTCAATTCTTGAACATCTGGACAATGTGGTAAGTTTTTTTTTTAATTAATCCTAAGATTTATTTGACATAGAAATTACAGATATGGTAACTTACTTTAAATTGCATTAGGTAAACAGTCTGATAGAAAAATGTGGTCGAAGGGATGCTAGAAATTCAGAGGTTATGCTTCCACTTATCCGTGTAAAGGTACTAAAACGTACTTAAAATGACTATTTTACCCTTTATCTAATAACTAATGATAATAATAATAAACAGACTTATGCATGTTTTTCTGTTTTCACATGAATAAATTTTAGGTTGATTATTCTGGATTTATGACAATAAACCCTCAAAAATTTGGTCAAAAGTATGTGGGCAAGGTACTTTATTATTATTATTATTATTTAGTTTCAAGAGTAAATCTTTATTAAAGTTGAAGCTTTTCTTTAATATTGGTTCAACTGAGATGATATTTTATAAAAAATGTAGGTTGCAAATCCACAAGATATACTTATCTTTTCAAAAGCTTCAAAGAGAGCTCAGGGTGAAGGTTAATAAGATTATCTCAAAACAAGAAAAAATTGTAATTATTCAATTTATTTTCAAAACTTTTAGTAATTGTTTAAAACTTTTTGTTGGCTTTAGCAAAAATTAAGGACACTGATCGATTGAGACCTGAAGAACTGAATCAGCAAAACATTGAAGCTTTAGTAGCCGAAAGTCAACTGGTACATGGTCAACTCCCTTTGACTTCTTATTATAAAAATATCAATCTACTTTTTCACTTTTAACATTATTTTATAATAATTTTTACAGAAAATGGAGATTCTTCCAGTGAATGATTTAGATGAAGCATTACACAATTTTGTTAACAAAGATGACAAGATGGCTTTTTACTCTTGTTTACAATACAATCTTGAAGAAACCCGTGTAAGCATTACATTCTTTTTTTTTTTTTTTTTAATTCTTTTAAAATCATATATATATTTTATGATGATGATTATCTGATCATATTTTTATTTTCTGAAAACAGAAAAATATATCTCGGGATCCAGATAACCTGAGCGTTGAAGTTGAGGATATAATTGTCAAAGTGGAAAAGTGTTTAGAGGCAATGAAAGATAAAATCTTGATTTAATTTTGGTATTTTTCAGTTCTATTTTATTGATATAATAATATAATATAAATGCAGACACGTGTGAAGGAAAGATCCAAGTCTAAAGAAGATCAACCATTTTCATCTAGTGCTCAATTCGATGAGGTAGGGAATTGGAATTTGGTATTCCATTCCATGGTTGGTATATGGATGGAATTCAATTCTTTTTGGGGTAATATTTATTGTTGGATTTCTTATTTATGCAGAATATGATAAATAAAGCTCCTGGAATTGGAAGTGCAGTTTCTTTTAGTGATGATGATGATGAAAGCACACAGTTTATTGGGTCAAAGTCTACTGCCAGGGGCAAAAAAGGAACATTACAAGGATTTAAATCAGCTCGTGATGTCACTGAAGTCAGCAAAACTTCAAGAGGAAGGGGTAGGGGTAGTAGGGGGGGTAGGGGGTCTAATAGTTTGAAGCAAACTACCCTTGATGCATCCATCATGTTTCGTCGTTCAGAAAGGTCTCCTCATTTTTAATATTATATATATATATATATATATATATATATATATATATATATATATATATAAAGTTTATTTTATATTATTATTCCAGATCAGCATCAGTTGCTGCATCGGCTTCTGTTCAAAGTATAGCTGTTGATGAAGAAAATTTAGATTCTGATTCGAGTGATGAAGCTGTGAAATTTGGATTAAATGAGCTTCATGATACTTCGGGGGTATGAATTTTTTTGTTTTTATTTATTTATATAGATTTTGTTTTTGTTTTTTACTTAATCAGCTTAATGGATTAAGCCAAAAATTGGCTTAATGTATTAAGACATTAAAACTTAACCTATTTGCAGTTTCTTCCATAACCTCTTAGGTTAAAACTGATGAATATTTTGGTTGAATTAATGGTTGTTTTTGGAATGTAAGGCTAAATTGGTCATTTAATCTCATTCAGACGATTTATTCAGTCTAGAAAAGAAACTGACTTAATAGGGTTTAGGGGTGTTTCTTTTCTACTTAATGCATGGGGGGAGGAACACTTTATGCATTGAAAAGGGTAAAATGGTCCTTTACTATAAATAAATCACTTATTCAAGACAAACATCAAGTGAATATGGGTGTTTCTTTTGGTTTTTTACTTTTTAAGTTCTGAGTTTTGACAAATGACAATATTGCCCTTCTTTTTCTTTTTGATTGTTTTAAGGATGATGACACGAGTATACAAGGTAAGGGCCGAAAAAGAGGTGCTGCTCCTAGGGGAAGAGGTAGGGGGTCCACTTCTGCTAAAAGGGGAAGAAAATCAGACAACACTTCATCATCAATCCAACACAGGATGATGAGTAAAGATGATGATGATGATGATGATGATGTTCCAAAGAAAACAAACAAGTCTCAACCAAGGGTAAGCAACATGTTTTAAGAAAATATGGATTTTAGTTCATCATGATCATCATTGTTTACTACTTTTTATCTTTATGCAGGCGACAAGGAACTATGGTGCATTAAGGAGGTAGCACAAGCGAGGGTATTATCGTAATTTTGTAGTGTTAGTGTGTGTGTGTGTGTGTGTGTGTGTGTGTGTGTTTCTATGTATAATCCAGGCCAGGTAATCTGCATTTTTTGATTTTGACATGCAGTAGTTAATGATTTTGATTTGTAGTTGAGATTTTGTGAAACTGTAATAAAAAAGTTTTGAGAACAATGTAAAATCCAGAGTTTGTGAGCTTTCTTCAAAAAGAAAAAAAAAAATTGTGGTTTCAACATTTAGACATGAATGCCATTTGGAAGTGGTTTCCTTTGGAATTATGTATTTAGTAATCGATTGGTTTGATTTGATTTAATTTGATTAAATTATAATAAAAGAAATAAAAACAAATAGTTTAGTTGTAAACTGAATAAAGAATTATCAACTTTCATATATAATTGAGATATGAATTTTGATATGGATATGATCTTTGAACGTTGTGATTATAATTGAGATATGAATTTGGATATAAACTTTGCTATTCAGAAATATAAAGTTCAATAGAAAAAAACTTCGAGAGTACTTCAGTTTTACAGAAAATAAGTTTGATTTATTTCATAACTAGAACAAGTCTTATATAAACAAATATCTTACAAACGACAATTTTAGATTAACTGTTGTTAGTCGACTATATTTGATACATACCTAACTAAAATTTTCTATCATGGATTTATTATTACACATCCTTTCTTATAATGGACGTACTATTGTTAATCTAGTCTACTCATATCACAATTATAATTTCACAATACATATGAAATGACTAAAAGACACTATTGCTAATCCACAAACTTATTATACAAAACTTTCTCATAGAATATATCTTGTATAATTATCTTCAAACATCATTAAACATCATTGCTTACGACTGTTTGTTTGTTCCCTCTTCCTAAAAAAATGTTTATTGTATCCCTATGTATGAGGATTTGATTGTGTACCCCATGTTTGATTTTTTTATGTTTTTAGTGAAGATAAATATTGTAACCTCTTTTATTATTATTATTATTATTATTATTATTATTATTATTATTTTTTAACTTTTCACATACCCATAAATCTTATAACAAAAGAATTTAACTAAATTAGCAATTTATTTATTTTTTTAATAAAACAACACGAGAGGTTGTAATTAATTTCTAATTAGTTTAATCCTATCTTTATATAATTTTCTTTTTTCAAATTTCCATCACCATCAATAAAATATAACTTTTACTCCTCAATATCTCTATTTTGATTTTAAATCCATGGATCCGGACTACGATCAAAAATATTAAAGGCTTTAGTCTTCTAAACCTTAAAAAAATCGTCATTTGTGCTAAAAAAAAAAGGTTCCATCTATATTCTATAGTCTAAAAGATTGTCCATTCAACTTCATCAAAAATTCTTCCATACAATTCGAAATTAAACAATGCAAAAATCGAAGGAAGTCTCGAAAATCATCACAACTTCTTCCATTTATCTCAAATTATATAAAGAGCATTGCGACACATGTTAATCCCTTTGTGATCCTTGTGGCTTTACATATACACATACACAGTTAAATAATATTTGTTTCTTTTCCTTCTTAATTGTTGAAATTTGCCTCTACAAGAATTATGATTATTACTTGAAAATTTAATATTGATCTCACCATCAATGTCTTAATCAACATTATATTATAATGGCACAATCAAAACCTTGTGACCAAATTTGTTTTGATCTTATAAATCATATGATCTTACAAATCATAAAACGATCATTTCTATAGAAATACAGTGTATTTAGCCCCTCTAATTCATTACCATATTCATCTATTCCCCCAACTTCAAAAATATTCACAACCAAAATTTTGAAAATAGACAACATATTTCATATGTACATACAAACCGAATCATACATGAAATTAAGGATACATATCCCAAAACTCGGTTCACAAATGAGAAGAACACATTATCATAAATGGATCTTGTTGAAGTTTTTTAAGACAAAAAACAAGTTTACAAAATTAAGTTGAATTTAATTTTGCTACCGAAAGTAGACCTTTCGACTTGTATCCTTATCTCTGTTTTGGGTGTTGGTTTTTTCCTGTGTCAAGAAACTTCCAAAATAAGACAAACAAAAAGAATGCAGACATTACAAAAATGTATTAAAAAAAAAAAGTTAAATGCAAGAAACAACAACATACTTTCAATGTTTTCTTATTAATACATTATACTTTGACCCTAAAAACAGCTAAATTTTCGTTTCAAGAACATGTAGATTAGACTTTAACAGAAATACATGTAATTTAACTTTAGACTCTAACCTATATTTACTTCCTTTTGAGCCAAAAAAAGAGGTGCATTTTCCTTTTTTTTTTCCCCTTTCAACATGAATAAACTAAAATTTGGGTAAAACACAAAACATGAAAAGATAAAATAGCAATACCTTTAGGGGAATTAACTTTTTACTTCCATTTTTCTTCTGTACATTCCCTGTAGATTGAGCTCCTTTATCACTAGATATAATACCCTTTTGACAAGTAACAATCTTTGTTGATGCAACTTTTTTAATACCAACTCTTTTTTCAGCTTCTTTACCAATCATTTGATTTTGTTGAACCTGCAACTTTGAAGAACAATCAAGATTAAAAAGTATCAACAATCTCACATTCCCAAATAACATTTGAACATTCTTTTTAAGGTAAAAAGTAAAAAAGTTTTCAACTTTGTTGTTACCTTGGAAGTGAGTATATTATTTATACTCCCTTGTTTGTTGGATTTGGTTAAATTTCTAACATTTTGAGCAGGGGCCTCTTTTGTCACATTGAAAACTCTAGGTTTGTTTTGTGCATCTTTACACTGATTCAAAGATGAAGAGGAAGAAGAAGCTACACTTGATTTTCTTGAAGAAGATTTGAGCCCTCCTTCTGAACACCTCACAACCCTTACAGCTGGCCTTGTGGCACAACTTCTTCTAAGATTGTTCCTTAAAGATGTCAAGAATTCACTACTTTGGTTTGACTTTGACACCTGTAATCCTTTCTTTTCATGGTGTTCATTTCGATTAGATGTAACAGTGCTCATTGCACTGCCTTCCTTTTCTTGTTCTTGGCTTGAAAAAGAGCATAAACTTGGTTTTGGTTTTGAAAGTTTAGGTCTAGAGGTGTTGTTGGTAAGACCACTTTCACAACTTGAAGATACATTTAGGGTTTTAATGGAATTGGCTTTTGTATTGTTACTTGATCCTGTGGTTCTTGAGGACTTCATGGTTAAGGTTTTGACAGGATGTTGGTTATTTGAGGTAGTAAGATTGTTTCTTTGTCCCCATGCTTTTGTTTTGTAGTTTTTGCCTCTTGATTTTGAGACTGAAGGAGGGAGTTTTGGAGAAGGTGGTTCTTGAATGGTTATTGAGTTTGGATGGAAGATTGTTGAAAGTAACTGGCTTGAAGAACATTGATGGAACCTATAAAAGTTAACTTGAGAATGTGACAAAATCCAAATGAAAGAAGAAGCAAAAAGCAAAAAGCAGGTAGTTATTTGATGCTTACTGATGGATTATATCGAACCATGAGTCATTACTGCAACAAAAGAAAAGATAACATTGGACATTAGTACATTACAATCATCTCTAGCATTAAACAAGCTTATTATATAACTAAAATAAAAGGAGATAATCACCTCTCATCATTGGTCAAATCGCATTTACTGAGATCAGCCCACATGGGTGCTTCAATTTGGTCCTGGATGATATGATTAAACAATGATATGAATACCTAAGATATAAATATTTTCTCATGTAAATTGTAACAAATGCATTTGGATTTTGGAAAGTATTTTGTAGGAGCTATTATCCAATTAAATAGAAATTCTTTTGAGAATCTTACATTAGACTACAGTGTAACAAGGTTAATTGTTGCAATTTCATGGAAAGAGGGAATACCAGTCATAAGATAGAATCAAAATACATTTTGCACGCATGTAATATTTAAAGAGAATGCAATGGACCAGGACTACAGGCTGAACAGAAATCCTTCACAGAGCTAAACCAAATGAACACTGATTTGAAGTGCAGGAAACAATTAATTGAACAAACACTCGAGAGACGATGATTAAAAGCATCAGGCGAATGATATACTTAAGAAAATAACCTAGAAACCAATTTCTTATCCTAGAAAGTGGTTTCATCAAACTGAAATCATGAAAGTATAAATCTGATGACACCAGGAGTACGATTTTACCAGAAAATCCCAGTGATCTACTGAGTCGGTGGTCTTAACTGCTTCAACCCCAGCGCTGATGTTTTTTCCACCGCCATCGACGGAAGATAATGCCGTTTTTCGCATAGTCTTGCGTTCCGTAATCATCTTTTGATTCTACAAATCAAGCATCAAGTTCTGAGAGACAATTTCGATTTCTTCTGCGATTCCATTACCTTCAAGGTCCGTTGAAGCGATTCTTCAATCTACAATGCCGTTAATCTTGAGTCGTGAACCATTTTGAATTTTCTTTAAATGTAATACAAGCCCTCAAAATATTGATAAATATCAATCAAGTCCCTATTTTTTATTTTATGCACAAATGTTCCTCTGACTATTTATAATTTTATATCGTCAACAAAGACCCTTACAAAAAAATGAAGGATGTCATCTACTTTGATGCACATTGGTGGTCACACACCAGTTTTGGGTCGGTCTTAAAACGGTTAGGTCTTTTGAAGTGGGTTTCGAAACGTTCCAGTCTTTTTCCAGACTGGTCTCCATCGGTCTTTTTCCTGTCCGGTTTTTTTTCGGACCGATCTTTTTTCGGTCCGGTCTCGCGGTCTTTCTGTATGTCTTTTTCGATTCGTTTTATGGGTTTTTTTGTTCGGTTTCTGTATTTTTTTATTCTTTTTTTTTTTTAGTGTTTTCCACTAACAAATATGTGATTAACACCAAAATGATAAATTAAGATTTATTAAAAATGATAATATAAGTTTAATAAAAGAAAAAAAATGAAATAAGTTAGATAATTTGTGATTAAAACTTTGTATAATTAACAAAAAATGATATATTTATAAAGTTTGGTTACCGGTCTTTTTTTCCAAACTAGTCTCGGAACGGTCCGGTTTTTTTTGGGACCGGTCTTTTTCCGATCCGGTCTTGTTTTCAACCGATTTAGTCTCGGTCTTTTTTCGGGTCCAGTCCGAAACCGGTCTTTTTGTGCAGGTCTTCTACAATGTCAAAAAGTCAATTTTGATCGGAACCAATTAAAAATGAGCATGAAAAGAAAATAGAGGTTGCAGAAATACGGATGCTAAGAGTGGGCTTGAAGTAGAACATTGTTGGACAAAATCTCAAACTCTACTTTCAGAATTTCCTTTGGAGTGACGTCAAACATCGAGAAATTAAAACATAATAAAGATTTATAGGAGTTCATACATGTAAAGAGACAACCGATTGTTGTTGTTAGAAGGATAGAGACCATCTCTGTTACCAATGCAACAAGGAGAGGATGGTCGAGAAGAAAGTGGGAAGATAATATGAGTTTAGACTTGAAGATATTAGCCCTTATACAAAACATGATATCCGATAGAAGAGTTTAAAGGTTGATTATTAAGATAGTAGAGTAGTATACTTTGTTCATTTAAAATCATCCGTACTCGTGTAATGTTGCTTATATTTCAAATTTGTCACATCAATTTTGCAATAATCATCCACATCAATGAAATATCAATACTCTTTCAAAATGGATCTTACTGCCACATCAACAACCATTTTGATACTCTTTCAAAATGGGTCTCACTTCCACATCAACAACCATTTCATACATTTTCAATAAAACTTATTGGTTTATGTTAAATATCTAAATATATACAAATAAATCTATCATAATTATTATAATTAATATGAACATACACACTAATTAACTAGTATATATATTTTTTTCTTTTGACGGCTTAATACTATAATCTCTTACAAATTTACAGTGAATAAATAATTCCCCACCAACAATATTTCTTTTCATTCAACAAATATAAAAAAAAAATTCAATCCTATATATTACCGGTGGTCTTACTATTAAGTTGCGATAGCGCCGTTTTATTTTACATTTATTATTATTTTATTTATTATTATGGAATGCCGGATAATGGTATTGAAATTGTTGTATTTGGTTCTAAATTTTTTTATATAATTGGTTCTCTACTTTATTTTATTTTTTAAATTGATTTGTTGTAACCTTGATTCTAAAATATTATTTTTCTTCAAAAACCACTTGATGGACTAACTTAGAGCTTATATTTTACTTTCAATAGGTAAAACGAGTAAAAGTATATCTAAAAATGAAATGATTTGAAACTGCTAAAAGCGTGTATTCAGTTATATCCAAAAAAATAAAAAATAAAAAGAATTCCATAACTATTTCAACAGCAAGTATTAAATAATTTGAATGGTATAAATTTTATATGACAATTGAAAGAAAACAAAGAAATTTATCTTTCCATATATTTTCACAATTCACTATAACAGTTGAAACCCATATACCCCAACAATATAAAAAAGAAAAAAAAAAAAAAAAAAAAAAAAAAAAAAACTTTACCATTTGATATAAGAATTTCCTTTTTTTTTTTTTTTTCTAAACAACATGAAGAAGCAAACCTATAAAGTATAAACACTAGTCAGTATCTCTTGCTTAACTTCCCCCACCATGACTGTTTTGTTCCTCCTCCTTCCCCATTTACACCTTTTACCAATTTTGCCCTTGTCTCCTTTAATCGATTCTTGTACTCTTTCTTCCATATCTCAAATCTATCTTTGACCTTCTTAAACTCTTCCATTTGTTTTAGATAAGGCATCTGTTGCTGTTGTTGTCCAATAATGGCTTTAGCATTATCATCAAAATCATGTGTTTTTTGATCCAACTCCTTCGATAGATGATCCACCACCCCACCACCACCACCACCACCACCATTGTATTCCACAAGAGTTTGAGTTCCTGAAGAAATGCCGCCAACACCAACACCATCCCCCCCTGAATCCCCAAGACTCTTCTTGGCAGCAACCAGACTCTTCTGCACCATTCAAAAACAAACATATGGTAGGTAAAAGGGTAAAAAGGTAAAATCATTTAAAAGGGTAAAATGGTAAATTGACCTGTAAAGAAGCAATCTGTTTTTGCCAAGCTTCCTCCACAGACTTCATTTTGATTTCATGTTCAGACCAGCGTGTTTCAAATTGTTTAATTTGGTCCCGCAAAGCCTCATTTTCTTGCTCCTTTTGGCTCAGGGACATGTCTCCCTTGATGATCATCTTCTGCAGCTCTATAACATCCGAGGGCATAATCGGAAGATTATCTTGCAACATACCCTATACACAATAAAAAAATTAACTAATACACCACAACCATTTTGTTATTATAATAATTATATTTAGTTTCTAACATAAAATAAAATTACCTTTGTAGACATCTTCCAGCTGCAGACATGACTGAAATACTTTCTAGCCAACCACCCACGACAAACTGACTGTATATATACAATTTCATTCAGATTCTCATTCACTGATTTTTCTCTTGGCTTCTTTATAACAACATTCCACTTTCTTCTTGAATTTTCCCCACGAATAACTGCAAACACGTGTAAAAAAAAAAAAAAAAAAAAAAAAAACTTGTCATGATTGCAACGTGACAAAATAAAAATAAAAATAAACAACCAAATTTTCTTACATGATTGCAATGTGAGAACTCCTGCCATTAGTTCACGGAAATCACAAGAAATTCCAATTCCAGAAACCCCCTTCTCCACCTTATTTTCCATGACTTGTTTTCTTAATTTCTCCAAAACCAAAAACTGTTCTTGTCGGAAATATATTTTGGTGTACCCAAGTTGGTATGCTTCCGGAAGAACCCGGAATTGTTGCAAAACAGCAACCGATGTACTCAACACATCCTGACAATAGCTTTTCTTCGAGAGAAGAAGACACCCAAACCTAAATTTATATAAAAACAAATTATCAAAAACTCTCAACTATTCATATTCTTATGTAAAAAACTGAGGTTTTACTTTTACTTTTAATCACCTGTTAGCGAATTCTTGATGTGACATACGTGTAGGATAGCGTGATTTTGAGATTTTTATAATCTCCAAAATGCCACTGCACCTCAGCTGCTGCAACACGGTTTCTTTATCGAATGTTCCCTGAAGTTGTTTCGCATTTGGTCTTATGCATCGGATGAAATGTGGGTTTGACTTTTCCAACATTTGAAACATTTTGAACAGTTGGTACTGAAAAAAGGTAGGGATAGTTAGGTAATTTTCACGTTTATCTCTCACTAGGCTAAATAAAATCTCAAAAGCTGTAAACTCAATTCTTGTAAAAGATTAAAATCACAAAAGGGTAAAAAACTAAATGGTAAAAGGACATGAAATGCTTGAATCTTTACCTTAAACTTTGTCCCAAGAGTTTGATTATCGAAATCAGTTTTCAGAAAATTATTGCAGGATGATGAGAGAAATTGGAGGGTATCAGAGTGCAGTGTGTCTCTGTTCTTTTCCAAGAACCCGGTTGACTCATATTTGACCTCCCCAGCATAATGGTTGACCTTAAAAGATCCCTTTTCATCATCAAACCCTAAAATCAAATGCTGTTTGATCTTGTTGAAAAAAGTCAAATCAGTGGCTTCTGATGTATTTGAAGCTTCATCTAGTATAGATAGTATCCCCATGTTTTTCTGCAACCCATCATCAAATATAATTTAAAAAAAAAAAAATGAAAGAAATTGCCCTAAAAAATCATACCTTTTTCAAAAAAAGAACATAAAAGAATCAATACCTTTTCAAAGAGGTCTAAACACCCTTGATTGTCCACAAACTCCACCTTTTTCCACTCAATACCCTCCGATTCATATTCCTAAAAAAAAAAAAAACACTCATTTATAAAAAAACTACATAAAATTTCTAAAAAATAGCCCTTTGATTCTCTCACCTCTTGTTCAAGCTTAAATATATGTCGAACAAAGTGCTGCTGAAGCCTCTCATTAGCATAGTTTATCAGCAACTGATCAAAGCTATTTTTCTGAAGATTCAAATATAATTTTAAGTTTCTATTATGAGATTAATAAATAAAAATGCTAAATATAATATTTATATATATATACCTGAAATGACTCAAACCCATAGATGTCCAAAATGCTTATACACCTACTACCACTCTCCCCCTTCAGTGATTTATTAATTGTTTCTACAATCCAACTGAACACACTTGTGTAAACAAATTTCACCAATGCATCTCTCACATCAATCGCCTAAAACAAAAATCAAATCAAATTAAATATCTTTAACTAAATTAGAATATTAATTTCATAAATAAATAAAAAACCTGCTGCTGGTTTTTATTGGTGGATAGAGTCATCATGAGGTCCTTCACATTGCACCCCATCAACCTAGCAGCACTTCGACTAGCTGATAAAACACAAATTATTTTCATAAATAATTAACGTATTATTTTTAAATAATATTAAATGAATATACCTTCATCAGTGACAACTTGAACATGATTTTCATGATCGATTACTTCAAATGATATATTCCCTAACCATAAAATTGAAGCCACCAATTTAAAGACACGTTCTTGATCTTCATGAGAAATCTGAAGGGCATCCATGGCTTCCTGATCCAATATATAATATAAATTAATTAATTTCTTGTTCACAGAATAATGATATTAATCAAATTTACCATCAGTTTTTTGAAATTTTGAGCATCATCAACATCATGAATTTTCAAGCATCCACTTTGATTCAGGAATTTGTACTCACTCGCCATTCTTAGATTCAATTTATCTATCAAAAAAAACATAATATTGAGCAAACAATCTCAATAATAATAAATTAATTTTGAGATAAAATAAATAAATAAATAAACCTCTCATATCAGATGGAGCACCAGCACACATTTGGTAAAAGATATGATATGACCTTTCACTTCGACACAGATGAGATATTCTTGACTGGTCAAAAAGTCAAAATTACTTCAATAGTTTCGTTTTTGAATTGACATGATAAAATCTTGAAAATAATAAAAGGAATAAGTACCTTTTCAAGAAGAACTGTTGATGTTTAAGCAAAGAACATTTAAAACCTGTTAGTAAAACTTAAATAAATCAAATAAACTTTAAAAAGTAAATATTGCTTACGTGTATGAATGTAAGCCCCACAAATTATCCATTCTGAATTATAATGAATATCAACTAGTTTCCCCTGCACCACATTTAAAAAAGTTTAAGTACCTTTTCAAGAAAAAAAAAAGTTTTTTAAAAAAAAAAAAACCCACAAATCGGCTGGAATTTTTATTCCTTGATGTTTTTGCATTCCCAAAAGCTTCCAATATACAGCAAGTTTGACTTATTTTGACTGACATTTCACTCTTCCCAGCTTCTATCAAATACTCCATAACTAACTTTGCTGTTACACTCTTTCCAGCTCCACTTTCCCCACTACAACAAACAAAAATTCCATTTTTTCAAAAAAAAAAAAAAAAAATATGATTTTTCACTTCATTCAAGTTACAATACAAACTAACAAACCTGATAATAATCGACTGATTTACACCATCTGCAAGCATCATAACAAAAAGTAGAGTCAAATTACGTAAATACCCTCATCTTTATTTTACTATAATACTCAGTTATCTGTAAAATTCACCTCTCATCATGTGAGTGTAGGCAGCATCTGCAATTTTATATGCATGAGGACTTTCCAAAATCTTTTCTTTGTAAGCCATGATGACATCATTTCCAGCAACTGAAACATCTTTGAAGGGATTGATTGCTAATAAAACAGGCCCCACCATAGTCTGTTTTACATGAAGAACAAAGATTTTGATGAATGAAGAAGTAAAATTTATCATAATTATTATTCAATAAGAGATGGAAAATATATTATGCATACATAAATTACATCACGTTGATATCTATACTGGATATTACATAGAACAGATGGCTCATTCAAGTAACCAAGCTCTACAAGATTGTTGACACCATCAAGGATTTCTGTATTTGTAGGGAAAAGATCTCTTGTAGACACTGTCATCACCTACAAAAATAATTTTTTTTATATTTTAGCTTATATTTAAATACTTAATTACAATTAACAGATGTTTTTATAGTAGTAGACTTACAGTTCCATCCAAAAGTATAACAGATGCTTTTCCTCCAAATGCTGATTGTATCTTTCCCAACTCCCAAAACCCATTTTGGACACGACACCATACTCGGAGTTGCTGAAAGGGTAAAATAGTCATTTACTCACTCACATTCAGACACCAGTCACACATCAATAATGGCTAGGTGATAGTATATTTATGTCAATGTAAACAAACAGTATGTTAGAATTTGAAATTTTGTCACTTGCAACCATTATTTTGTCTGTAATTATTGGTCCTACTCCTATTTGTTGGTTTTAGTTTCTAGCTACAGTCTTTTTTTATAGCTTTTTTCAGTAGCTTTTGTCAATATGAAAGTTAAAATAGTGATCTGTTTGATACTTAAAATTCAGATGTTGACAAACAAATAGGATTTTAAAGAAAAACCAAATTAGTTTATGTTTGATAAGAACTGAGATTAAAGGAATCTGTGAATCATAAGGTGAAACCATGAAATCTTACCTTCTTGATATAATAATCGATGCTATTATCCCATCCAGAAGCCAGTGAGGGTGGTGGTGAGGGAGTGGCAAGATTGGCACCACCGTTCTCCGCCAATCTATGTTCATGCACAGCCGCCATGGTGTAAGGTGATTCGCCATATGAAGGAGTTTCCAACACATTTTTCCGGCCAAAACTACCATTACTGACAACATCTTGCTTCCTGCTGTCACCAACCTCTGGCGACACGCCAAACATGGCCAGGCCTGGACGCTTAGGAAGACGTGCCCTGGATGCCGGCCGTGCTGGTAACGCCGGCGGCAAGTCCGCTGGCTTCTTGCTCTCCTCTTTCCGCTGGAGAGAGTCGAGCATTTCCTCCAAAGAACTCCGAACTATCATTTTCACCAAATTACAACGTCCACTCGATTTGAAATCAAGGCCGACTAAATCGACGTATAGACGAAAACCATCGTCTTCGAGATTCGAACAATGCCGAAAAGAACTTTAAAACCCTAATCCGATTCAGATTAGAAAAAAAAATGAAGAGATTATAGAAGCCTGCGTTCCAGAAACGGACAAATTTCGTAAAATGAAGAAAATCAAAATTCAATTCAGTCTGAACTTTACAAAACCTAACCCAAACAACTGAACATTTCCTCGAAAAACAATTTGGGGACGAACAGAAACTTCAAACCTAACAAACAAATTATGGAACTATGAGCTGTAAAAGCGACATACAATCATCATTTATGTTTATATGCGCATCAGAAACAAGAATCGTCCGAAATAAGCAAAATCGGAACTGGGTTTTGCGTTAAAATCGAGGGTTTCTTGTTTTTAAACTAATTTCTACTGCCTTGAAAGCATGAATTACAAGATGACGAATTATGGTCCAACAGAGAGAAAGAAATGCAAAGATTAATGGCAGAAAGAAGGAATTATCTGATGAAAAACAGATGTAGTGGTTGTTTGTAGATTAATTTGGGGGATTTGAGAAAATTAGGGAAAAAAAGGAAATGTGATTTGTCTGTTTGTTGCTTAAAGGGAAATTTTGAATTTATTCAGGTTGGTGGTAGTGGCGGGGGGGGGGTACCATGATATGATCCGTTGGGTTTCTGATTGTAGTGAAGTAATAATAATCTCATTACTCTTTTTTCGCTCTAATTTCTAAGGAATAATAATACTATTTTATTATTTTTTAAGGTTGTAATAATTTATAACAGAGAATAAATGTGATATTTGATTTTTATGTGTGTCAAATTTTAATGTTCTTAATTGGCAACCCTTTTTATATTATTTGGGGTAAATTTCGTTGTAAACGTTTATGTGTGGTTTTATTTTTTAATCCATATGTCATTAAATCTAACTATTCATTTGCATTTGAGTTTTTAACTTGTTTTTGGCCAAACCCTAAAATAAATGGAAAAAATATTATCATTTAAAATTATTGATATTATATCATTCAATTAAGTTTAATTTATAATTAAATAACATCTTCAGTGATTAATTATTTTCAATAATTTTTTATTTTTATTTAATCTATCATAATGTATTTAAAATATTTTATAAAACCATTTTCAATTAATTACTTATATTTTAAACACATGTTGAGCGTGTCAAACCCAACAAATAAAGGGGTAAAATAACTTCTTAAATACTACTACTTTGTACTAGAAATGTAATACAATGTAAGTAGGGTCGATCCACAGAGACACGGAACAAATGTTTATACCTTTTTGCGGAAGGTACAATAATGGTCACATAAATGGGGGGTTGGTATGCAATGATTTAAACAAGAGAATAAAGCAATAAGTAAATGGTCAATTAAATGAAACAAATTTAGGATTTGTGAGAACTCCAACTCTATGCAAGACAAATTAGCAATGTGATTCCATGGATGAAAAGATATTTGTTTAATTCTATCTAAGTTGGTACTTGAAAGTGTTAACAAGCTCTAACACTTCCCATTCACCACAATAATTAATCAAAACAAGCTCTTTGATTAATCCTAACCTTACTAACCTAATATAAACAAGCTCTTAGAATTGGATTGAAAGGTTGCTTTAAGCTTTATGTGAATGTTCCCAACAACACTCAATACTCCTCACAAGCTCGGGAGCGTAAGAATGTGTGAAAAGATTTACACTAATTTCATTCAATAGAAATCAGATTAGTGCTTGTTACCTAGTCTAATTTACAAAACAATTACGGATTTTGCAATTAGATAACTTGAATGATCTAACCCTAATTCAAATGGCCAATAAGAATCACAATTAGAATCAAACATTCGATTGAGACAAAATCAAATTCACTAGATAGAAAATTGAAAGAAAACATCAAGTCATATGATTGAAATCACATCCAAATGTCAAGACATGAAGTTGGAGAATTTAGGGTTCTAGCCACTCATGGCTAGAACAAGATCACAAATCTAGAAAATGAAATTAAAGTTCTTACAAAATGAAATTAAATATTCCCAAGTGTTAATCAACTTCAAAATCCTCAAGAAATTCGCCTTCTCTACTCCAAAAGTCGACCCCCTAAGTAAAAAGTCGGTTCCCCCCTTTAAGAATGGTGAAAAACTGCTTTAAAACCCACGTTTACGTTTACACGGCCCGCGTAAATTAACACTGTCATTTACACGGCCCGCGTAAACGCAAAAATATACTGCGCATAAATCTATGTTTACACGGCCCGCGTAAACGCAAGGCTTCCATTTACACGGCCGTGTAAACGTCTGTAAAGCCAAAATCCTCATTTCTTTGATATCTTGCTCCTCGGTGCTCCGCAAGTCCTGAAATTTTGTCCGCAACTTTTATTTACCTCCTCCAACAAGATCCTACCTCCAAAAGTCCCTGAAATATCACAAAAGTATTTGAATGAAATTGCTTCATGAAAAATCCCGAAAAACATGCAAAATTCATGAGTTTAAGCCTATATGCAATGAACTTTTATGAAATAAAGCTACAAAATGGGTATATGAAATGCACCTAACAACACATCATATTTTATAGACGTTGAATGCCGTAAACAAATAAAAATAAAAATGATATTTATTTTATAAATGTTAAATACGAAAAAATGAATGTGCCATGGTTATAAAAATGATTGAAAATATTATATAATCATTATAAAATTTGTATTTCATATATAAAATATCATTAAATATTTGATAAAAATAATTAACTAGTAAAAAATTAAAAATATTTAAAAATAAAATATAGTTAAGTGGTAAAAAGAAATATGATTAGAAAATGATAGAGGTCAATATACTAAATATAAAAATATATTAATCACTCAATATATATTGAGTTAACAATAGAAAAAAAAAAACAATAAACTAACTTCAATGATAATAAATTATAAATAGAATAAAACAAATAATAGTAAACCATAAATAAAATAAGTATGTATAAGGTTTTTTTTTAATGAAATAACCCAGATTTTTTAAGATTCCTTAGACAACCACATATTTGGTGGTGCGGCTATCAAATTGCTTTATTCAAAAGCGGTTTGTCATTTGTATTGATATTTTTTTATACATGGAATAATTGATATTTTAAAAAGAGTATGATTGATGATATCAAATTATCTTTATCAGTATGAATTAACATTTTTATAAATATGAGAAAGTATTTGAGTATTCAAAGAATTTCTTACTTCTTTAAGAGAACGAATGACTAATAACTAAGAATGGTGTTTTCTTTACTAATCTAATAGAATACCCCTTCTCGATAAGTAAGGTAGGTTGGTTGTGCTTGGGTCTCCTTCTCTTGTTGAAGGTTTTCCTACTTCTAATAGAATCTTCTAAGATCATCTCTTATTTAGCTTCTGAAGTTACCATGATTTGTCATCAAACCTCATAGGCTAAAGAGAAAGCTAAACATGGGTTCAAGATTGAGTTTACTGGCTCTAGGAAGTTCGAGCGAGTTAAGCTTTATTTCCTTCGTTTATTCCCTAATCCTCTTAACCGAGTAAATTTCACCCATCGAGATGTTTATATGCTTCCTATTTGAGGGTTGTGATAGACAACCAATGGTGTTAATCAATACACCAGGTCAAAGGTGATCATTTATTGTTTAGATTTGTATTTTAGATATAAATATTTATGGGTATTCTGATTTGGTGGAAAGAAAAGTAATTTGGTAGATTGCAATGTTTGTTTATCTTTCCAACATCATAACTTGAACTATGTTATAGATGATGATGATGATAGGTCAATTAGCATGGCCAAGACAGATCTGGTACGCCAACCATCCCTGATGCTCTCCTACCAATCCTGTCAGCAATTCCAATCTAATGTTATTGGTCACATACTAATCACATCAAACTAGGAGGACTTGATGATGATAAGTCCATTAGTATGGCTCAGACAGTTCTGGCGTGCCAGCCTTGCCTGATGCTCTCCTGCCAGTCGTGCCTCGTGCTCCCTAGTCAGCTGAAACATTCCAAAAGTCATAAATAAAAATTTCATTTTTAATTCAACTCAAATCATCAAATACACTTACCAAACTTTCCACGTGTAT